TGCGTATTGATAGCGTTTCCAATAGCAGGGAAAATGCTATGTCGAATTCGAACTCGAATACCGATACAGATAACGAGCACATCCATGTAGTTGAACATCCTCTCGTACTGTCGGGTGACCGAGAAGTCCCCTTTACATAGCTAGTTTGTCAGCCAAGTGGGCTGCTATTTTGAGGTAAAGCATGTCAAACTTCAACTATTTATCGACTATGCATTTGGAATTGGCCTAGCCGGATAGGGTTCGAGGCGTTTTTGTTGCTTGTGCTACAAGGCAGAAGGCATTACACCCTGTACATGCTGAGGAGCACCGGCCGTCGGATCCCATCGAGATATCCCCTTGATTGGCTTCATAATCGAGACTATGCATTTGGAATTGGCCTAGCCGGAAAGGGTTCGAGGCATTTTTGTTGCTTGTGCTACAAGGCAGAAGGCATTACACCCTGTACATGCTGAGGAGTACCGGCCGTCGGATCCTATCGAGATATCCCCTTGATTGGCTTCATAATCCGATGCAAGATTGCTTCTTAAACTATTGACTCTTTCTTCGTGTCTAAAATTCCGGCGCACCGGCCGTCGGATCCCATCGAGATATCCCCTTAATTGGCTTCATCATCCGATGCAAGATTGCTTCTTAAACTATTGACTCTTTCTTCGTGTCGAATTCCGGCGCACCGGCCGTCGGATCCAATCGAGATATCCCCTAATCAGCTTCATAATATTATGGATACAAAATTCACAGATGTTAACTGCTGTGTGATTAAATTAAGTTATGGTACTTGGATTATTCTAGTTTAAATGTTGAATTTGTATAAAAATAAATATATTTTAAAGATTCAATTGAATTATTGTGAAATTTAAAATTTAATTTAAAATTTATCTCATAATTTAAACTGGTTATAAAGGTAAAATGCATTAGACGTCACTAAGCTATTCTCAAATGATTGTTTTGGCCATTGAACTTCCAAAATTTACGAAATGGTCATTAGACTTTTTAAAATCGTGATGTTAACTTCTATTAAGGAGGATGAAGGGCACGTTAACTAAACTATTTATTTATTAAATTAACTACAACCAATAAGACAATGATTGATGACACATATATATATATATATATATATATATAAAGTAAAAATTAACCGGGTCGGGTTGGATAAGTGATTTTTCACCTTAAATCCGACCTCATCCCGTCCTGAAGTTATATACTATATAACTAATTCAGAAATATTTTTCAGGGTGGACATATATTTATTAATAACAAAAACATTTTGTATGAGGTGAGCACAAATAAAATAAAATTTCAGGGTAAACATCTTTAGTAAGAAAACAACTAACATAAAGAAATTTTGTTTCCAGCATGGGCACGTGCCCACCTTAAATTCTACGTATATCATCTATTGTATATAGTTCCAGTTCGTCTCAAGCCTCAAACTTTTTTTTATAAAAAAAATCACCCTTATAAAATCGGGTTAGGTCGAGACTCGTCGAATTCAGATATTTTTACAATCCTAAATTTGAAGGCTTCTCCAAGTCTTGAACCGAGAAATTTAGTCTAATTATCAGAAAGTGAACAAAACCTAAAGCTTGCAGAGACGCACATGCATTCTCTAAACATCTGTTTCTCTTTGGAGTATAATTCGAGTCATTAAACCAATTCAACACCAACTAAACATAAAAAATAAAATAAAAAACATATTGTTTTTAAGTTCTATTAATAATCGTAAGCGTATTTAAATACATTATTATTATTATTATTATTATTATTATTATTATTATTATTATTATTATTATTATTATTATTATTATTATTATTATTATTGTTGTTGTTGTTGTTGTTGTAAAGGTAATAAAATGAGAATCAAATTAAGTGGAATGACAGGACCAACTGCAAACACATGCAGAACCCAGGCATTGAACTAGGGCCGTAAACGAGTCCACCTTGAGTATTGTTGAGTTCTACTCGAACTCAAAAAGTTTAAAATTAGGCTCAACTCAACTCGAAAACTCGTGAGCTAAAAATTATCAAGCTCAGCTCAGCTCGAACTCGAAATATAATATAGAAAATCGACTCGAACTCGAAAAGGCTCGAACTCAAAAAAATTCCAGGAGCTCGATTGAAGCTCGAGACTCTAGCTCGATTCAAGCTCGAACTCGATTCAAGCTCGAACTCGATAAAAGCTCGAACTCAAACTCGAATTTGAACATAAAAAAATCTTTTTAATTTTTTTTTTAAATTTATAATTATCAATAATTTATTTTTAATATATTTTTAATAATGTAATTTTAAAAAATATAAAATTATAATATAATATTTTTTTAGTAGCTCGTTAAGAATTTGAGTCGAGCTCGAGTCGAGTTCATTCGATTCGAGTGTTGATCAAGCTTTGACCGAGTCAATCTCGAATATCTCGCGATCTATCTCGTCTCATTTACTGCCTACATTGAACAGTGTAAGTAGGGTTCTTGTCCAAGCACTTATCTGACAATCTTGAACTATGCAGTTGGTCGGATATATATAATGTCAGCTGACATGCTTCAACTTCAGCTTCCATTGTCATCACTGCAACAATAAAAATATTATTAATATACACAGGGATAGATCAAAGGAAGAGTGCGCAGGGATAATCATCTCTGAAAATTTAAAATTATTGTATATTTTAAATATTTTTTAAATTTCTTTTTGTTAATATACCTTCGTCCCTTAAAATTTTAGAAATTCGTATCCTCCGTAAAATTTTAGAAGCTATACTCCTTACCATAAGATCATATATTAGTTCGTTAATCTGACTTGACCCAAAAATAGACCTCCTCTACTCGAATCCAACCCGAGTTTAGAGTGACTTCACCTTACCCGAGTTTTCGGGAAGCCAACCATGGTACTTTAGTCCAGTATAAACCGGACGGAGCTCCTCTTCTTGCATATTCATAACATATTTGTTTCAAAAAAATAAAAGAAATTGTTAGTACGAAGGGGAGAAATCGGACGGAGCATATGTCTTCTTCGAGAAATCGATCGGAATATTTAACGTCTTCGAACTCTATAACTCCGGTAACACCCGTCGTTTTCGGGAAGCCAACCATGGTACTTTAGTCTGAGTATAAATGCAGCAGAAAGGAGACCAATCATGATACTCTAGAGATGAAAAGCTTGAAGAGACGTCATGTGTTTCGACCGTCTTTCGGAAGACGTCAGATATTCCGGCCGACTTTAAAGACGAAGGGGGTGAATTATGAAATATATGAAACCTCCCCGATGCCCGAAGCTGCACCGGTAACGAGGACAACTTTTCCGGCAACATTTTCACTGGTTAGTAGCTGACCTATGCTTATATGGAGTGTGGGTGAGAAAGCTTATATAGGTGTTTCTTGTTTGGTTTTAATCGCATTAACCGATCGAATCGAAATTTCATTCGATTAATCGGTCGGTTAACTAGGTGTTAGATTGATTAACGGTTAGGAAAATTCTGTAAGTCTAGGTATCGATTATTTGAGTTTGAAATTGATTAATTAACTGAACTAATTAAAAATATTAAATGTATTATAGGATAAACTATGCATTTACTATACAAACTATTAGCTTTAGACCTACCTCTCTGTCTATAGGAGGAGAAGCACCCTCCACCATTGTTCTATGTCTTCTTTGACCCAACTTTAGGGTACCCCAAAAGAATAGAATAAAAAGACCCAAACTTTCCTTCCAAAAAGCCATTGATGTGCAACCCCAATTCCTTAATTTCAACTAAAAATAAAACTCCAAGGAATCTTCACCACAGAATCTCCCTTTAATGAAAGCATAGTTTAAATATATTTTATTTTGATATTTTTCTCTTTAAAAAAAGCATATATTATAATCCAATAATTAAACCTACAATCATATATTAAAAGGAATTTTTTCTTCTTCGCTGGTAAATTCTCAATCAACCGTATAGAATGGGAAGACATGTGACCTACGATGAATAGGGTGTTCATTTTTTTTGTTTTAATCGATTGAATTGAATAAATTCGGTTAATTCGATCGGTTACTAAATTAGTTCGGTTGGAGAACTGTTAGTACTTTTTTCAGTATTCAGTTAATGATTAATTCGGTATGAAATCGATTAATTAATCGAATAAATCAAAATTATTAAATATTAAATATATTATATATATATTAAATACATATTTTAAGTTCAAACCCATTGAGAATTAAGACTCATTTTTCTGTAACCACACCAGACTCATCAAATTATTAATATGTAATTAAATTTTAACCAAAATAAAAAATACTTCTATTATATTCAAATTAATCTAATTAAAAAATTATTAAAATTTTAGTTAATTCCGTTAATCGACCAAGATAACCTAACTTTATGCAGTTCAGTTAATATTTTTAAAAAAATTTGATTCGATTAACTGTTAAAAAATTGATTAATTCGGTTAATGAAAATTTAATTCGATCGAAGGTTGAATTAACTGTTTGAACACCCCTAACAATGAAAGAGGAATTAGACAAGTTGGGAGACATTAATTTATCAGCTCAATGCATTCTACCACCAAAAAGAACCCCTTAAGAAATAGCTACTTCCCTAAATAATATATAAATGGGTATTATTGTAATTATCCCTAAATATATAAGGAAATATTATATTTTTTGGGGTCATATCGAGATAGGTATTTTCATCTTAAACCTGAACACAACCCGACCCGAACATTACCTCTAAAAAAATTTGATCCGAACTCAAAATATTTTAAAAAGAAGACCCAATCCAATCAGGTCGAATCGAAACCCGTTGGATTCGAATCTCGTGTCCATCACTAGGTATTGATACTTTTCATTATCATTTAGATTGTCAATATTCGATTTATCACTATTCATTTATATTCCAAGTATGAAGTAAAAAAATAGAAAAAATACAAATAATTTAAAATATTTCATTATTAATATATAATTATATATAACAGCATCAGAAAAAAAATAGAAAATAGGAGTAAAATTCTACAATTTCTCTGTGGATTCTTTTTCTTTTACATTACAGAGCAAGCATTAGGGCTTTCGTCACTGAACATCTGAGGAGGATAAGCGTAAAACTCAGTTGCATACCTTGGAGCGTAATAATATAATTCATTTCTCTTCAGCTCCACCGCCGCGGTGGCTGCAGTGGCTTCTCCGCCGTCACCATCGCCTCCGCCACCTTTCATGTCCTTGTCATTGCCACCATCTTTGGGTTTTTCTTCTTCGTTTTTACGGTGGGGCTCTTGCTTCACTATCAGTGAGTGCTTACCGGTTCTTTTGTAAACGTAATCAACCAGTTTGGTTGGATTGAACACGCCCTTTACTGTCATCTCTGAGCTCTTTGGATCGGGGTCTACTGATTCCACTCCTGAAAAATGATGATTATGATTAATGGGGTGTAAACAATTCAGGTATTATTGAGTTCGAGCAGATTTGAAAAGTTTAAAGTTGAGTTCGAACTCGAACCAAAAATCTTATTGAGAGTGGACATACGTGCATAAATATTACAGAATTTTCGCATGTGATGAACACAAATAAAATTTTAGGGTAGATGTTGGTAACGGATCCAAAAATTAAAAAAATGAAGTCTAAAATTTTATTTTTCCTTTTTAAAAAATTATAGGTATGCTAAATTCAACTAATTTTCTAAAATAATGGGATGCACCACCAATAAAATAGATAACAAATCGAAGAAAATTCAAATTTTAGGGTGTGCACGTGTCCACCCTGGGACAATGGTGGATCCGCTACTCTTTGAAAGTTCACGAGCTTAAAATTGTCGAGTTTGACTCGAACTCAAAATAAAAAATTGAAACTCGACTCAAGCTCGAAAAAATTTGAGCTCAAAACATTATCAGATTTAGTTGGATTGATGCTTGACAAAAACTCAAACATAAACATGAACCTTAAGTACATGAAACCCTTATATTGCATATAAAACATCTCAATATTGACAAAACATTTTGGTCATTAGATTTTCGAATTAGATATCAAATAGATTACTTCGGTTCATTAAGAATTCGAGTCGTATTCATTCAATTTGAATATTAATAAAATTTTAATCGAATCAAACTTAAATAACTCACAGTCCATTTGTCTCATTTACAACCCTATTTGATTAAATAAGACCTAAGGAATTCAATAAACAAATGAAATGAGAGAAAAAAAATCGAAACCTTTCATTCTTTGAATACGTTTCTCGATCTCTTGAGCACAAGCTTCACAATGCATGTGAACCTTTAACACCACCACCACCGCCATCACCTCTTCTTTCTTCTCTCCACCCTCGGGCTTTTCTTTTTCCTCCGCCGTGGACGGTGGCTTTGGGATGGGTGAGAGAAGCTCAACTTGTCTGTGGCTTTTCATTTGAACTCTCTCGAGAACTTTCAAAGGGTCGGCTTTGTCACCTTTCACCACCAGCTTATTGCTCTTGCAGTCCGTCATTACATCTTCAACACCTACAAAAAACAACACCGTCAAATCAAACCAAAAAAAAAAACCAAACCCAAAATCAAAAACATGTTGTTTTTGGAAACCTTTAAATCCCCTGAGACAACATCGGAGTTTACGAGCGCAGCCTTCACAGTGCATGTAAACTTTCAATATAATCTCCCGGGGATGATGAACTTGAGGAGCAGCAACAGCAGACTCATCTTCTTCAACCTTCGTCTGTCCCATTTTCTTCTCCTCGCCTGGTTTCTTCTCTTCCTGACAAACAAAGCACGTTGATGCTATATAAGGTCGAAAAAGGAAGTGTAAAGGAGAGCCAAAAAATGGGTATTTTAAAGAGATGATCATCATTCATCACCTCCCCCATTAGTTTACAGAATCTGGGTTTGACTTTGATGTTGTTGATGATGATGACGATACAACGGAACTTCGATTGCTTTGCTAATCTATGGTGTTTTTCTCTCTGGACTGAATTTGCTTTTGCTCTTTTGTTTTCGTTTATTCTTTCTCTTTTCTCCCTGTAAAGTGTGGTTTTCCCAGCACCATCAGATGTAGAGAATCCGAGGCCATTTTCATCCAATTTTGTACTATGATAATAAATGATTCACATCTAAATTTAAATCGAATAACTATATTCGATTCGAATCGATTCAAAAAATAAGATTATACATGAGTTATTGAATTCTAAAAGGTTATAAATGGGTTACTGAGTTAATCAACTCTTGCAAACATGTATAACAGATATTATCTTTTAAATTACACATGAGTTGTATGATTGTAACAAACAATAAATTGATTGACAAAATAATTAATTGATTAATTGAATGATTTGTCTATAAATTTTTGAAATATAGTGACTCGTTTATAATTATCGAAATAATTAAGTGCCTTATAGTGTAATTTACTTAAGCCTGAAAAAAATTTAAGAGAAAATTAAGTTTCCATAAAATGGTGATTGATTGCACAAAATTTATTTGTTTTGCACAAACCAAACAATTTAAGTGGTAAGAGAATTATTGTTATGCCTTTAAATCTTAGGTTAGTAGTGTGAGTATTATATATCAAATGATTTAAAATTATCTTTAAACAAATATTATTTTATACTTACTTCCGTCGACATCGTTTTTGGCTCGGGCGGGGAAAAATCAGTACCGACTTGGGTGTTTTTCTTTTGAAAATGTTTTAAAATATGAGGAGTCGCCACCAATCATTTTAAGGTGCTATTGGGACACCATAAAAATCGGGTGATTTTAATAAAAATATTTTTTTATCAAAATACCAAATTTTAGGGTTTATGAAAATCCAAAAATCAGGTTTGGGAGTTAGTTACGCGTGGGGAATGATTAACACTCCCACAAGCTCCCAAAAATTGGTACCTAGTTGATTACCCTATATTTAGAATCGAAAATTTTAAGTTCAAACTTTATCTAATTTAAAAATCATTACGGATGTAAAGTTGAAAACGGTATTCGTTTATTAATGCCAATAGCATTCGCCCCGTAGCATAAATGCGAGATTTTATGTTAAGAGAGATAAACTTTAATTTATAAAATTTTAGGGGGCAAAAACATAATTTAAATATAAAATACATGATAATTTTAGATCCTAAGTCCATCTCGTACCTAATTTACTAATCGATTAATTCAAATCAAATATTATAAAAATTTATTTATAAAATTGACATTTCCAACCAAATTTGCTACATTTAGAATATTAGAATTTGAACTTGTATTTTGTGTCGGTTTAAGATCTTTTATGGTATTCTTCGAATGTCGACCTAATGTTATTATTAAATTGTCCTATCACTTTTATTTATATATATATCGTGCTTTTAGTTTAACGAATATAACTTCCAAATATTGTAAATGTTATGATGTTAGGTCTCACTTTCATGATGGGAGTAGAATCTTATATCTTGTTTTTTTTTATAATCGTCAGTATCCGATCTATTGATCGATTAATTCGGATCGGGTACTGCAAAGACAAGAGCCACTCTCCTAATTCAGTTTGTTTCATTCGCAATTGTCAGGATTCGAACCCCTAACCTTACTTAAAGAAACTAGTATCTCATCTCACTAGACCAACTGATTATTGGTATCTTATAATTCGGTTTTAACTCTGATATATACTCACTCATATAGTCATGGGTAGAGTGAGGATTCTAATTCAAAGGACAAATATAATCAACAATAAAAAAAAATTAAAGAGATAAAGTCAAAATAAATCAAATTTTGAAAATTCAAATAGGTATTTAGTCCTATATATTTTTATGATAAAAAATTAAGGGAGCAGTGATCCCGGAGACAATGAATAGCTCCGTCCTGAATACAATGTTTCGTTATGGACCGAGTTTGTCCTACTTATGACCAGTTTAGAAATGATTTTGAAAAGTGACTTTTAAAAGTGTAATAGAAAAGAATTTTTAAAAGTGATGTTTAGAAGTACATTTTAAAATCTAACTGTTTGGGATTATTGTTAAAAAGTGAGTTTGAAAAGATAAAATGTACATTATAGACGTTATGTTATAAATTAAAAATATAGAATTTAAATTATATTTACACTTATTGATATTATGATATATAAAATATATCACTTAAATTATAATAAAAATATAAAATAAATTATTAAGTAATAAATAATTAAAATAATAATTAAATAATAATTTTTTTAATGATGGTAATATTAAATCATTAAGTAATAAATTATATTAAATATATAATTTAAATTATAATTTACTTTTAAATAATTAAAATAAATTATTAAGTAATGTTTTTTAAGGATATTAATATTGAATTATTAAAATGTAATTACATAACTGAGCGGAGCTCATACATTAATAAGGGTAAAATTATAATTTGCTACCAAATGTAAAGTTGAAAATAAAAAAACTATAAATCCTAAATTTTGTGGTTGGTTTGAGACCACCGTTTCCACCACAAATTTTTTATATCTTTTATCCGTTTGATATTGATTCTGCGGTTGGTTTGAAACCATAGTTTCCACCACAAATTATATCCATTTTATGTCGTTTTTTAACCTTAAATTAGGTGATTGTATATTAAAACTTATCGAAATAAAAGTCCTTTGAATTCCGAGATGTCTCAGGTACGACAACATTAATATACGGCTAAGAAAATGCGCTACCGGAAATATTATTTTTTAACATTTCCGGTAAAGTGATCTACAACATTATTTTTTCTACCGAAAATGTTAATATTGGGCGCTACCTAAAATGTTTAACATTTCCGGTAAAGCGCTACCTAAAATATTATTTTTTTCTACCGGAAATGTTAATATTAGGTTCTACCGGAAATTAGTTAGCAAAATTAACATTTCCTGTAAAAAAATAATGTTTTAAGTAACATTTTACCGAAAATATTAAAAAAAATAACATTTTCAATAATACATTTCTTTAACTGTATATTAAAACTACCGTACAATATAACTACCTTTGAATTTTAGCCTGACATTGGGCTATAATACATAGCATATGTTAAAAAGCCTCGAGTGGTAAGTGTAGTGGGCTTCCCAAACCCCTCTTGGTGATGGCTTAAAACAAAATTATATGATACATAAGCGGTGTAATATAAAGTTTACATAAATTTATTTATTTTAGCGTAAAGTATACAAGCAGTCCCTCGATTATAGGGTGTTACTTTTTTAAATCCTTTCACTATTAGAAGTTACAAAATGATCTCTTGACTATAATGTACTACTTTGTTTAGTTTCCCGACCATTAAAAGTTACACAATGGTTACCCGACTATTCATATGTTTCCAGCTCGTCCTTTTCTGTTAAAAAGGTGATGGTCGTCGGAGTTGTACGTTAACCTACTGATCGAGATATGATAAAATATGATCATAGAATCTCAAATAACTATACAATTCAAATATATTTTATCATATTTTAGTCAATAGGTTAACATTTAGTTTAGTAACAAAAAAGACAACTTTGAAATATATAAATAGTCCAATGATCATTTTGTAGCTTTTAATAGTTAAGGAACTCAAAAAAATAATGTCCTATAATCAGGGATCATTTATGTATTTTACCTTTATTTTAATGTTATATATCTTATTTAATGTTTTAGATTTTACAAGCTTTAGAATTCAAAATTTTAATGTAAAATTTTGGTTTATACAGTCTCTGTGTAAAAAATTACTCTCTTTTTATTTAGGGTAAAGTATAAATCTGGTAATTGCACTTTATTCCTTTTCTATTTCACCCATTATATTTTAATTTTTTTTTAATTTTGTCACTAAAATTAATACATTGAGTTTTTTTTGTCACTCAGGCGTTTCTCACAACGGTGTTATGACGTGACTTCTTTTATTCTAACTTTCAATGGGTAAATTACAAATTTAATTACTGAACTTTAGTCTCTCTCCTATTTCACTCACTATACTTTTAATTATTTTTTAATTTAATCACTAAACTTTATGTATTGGAATTGTTTTGGTCACTCCTCTGTTAAAAAAACCACGTCATAACCCCGTCGGTGAAGAAATAACTGTGTCACCAAAAGAACTCAATGTATTAAGTTCAATGAGAAAATTAAAAAGATTGAAAGTACAACGAGAGGTAAAGTTCAGTTACCAATTTTTCAATTTACCCTTTTATCTAAAAAGTCATCATAAATTAGATTTGAGTGCAACTGGTTGTAATTATTCCATGAAATCACAACCTCTTAATTAAATTAATTTATACAATAATTATTGAATTAATTTGATGAAAAAGGAATTGGAGAAGAGCTGGTAAAGTGATAATCTACGTTGTAAATTACGTGTTTAGTACTTAAACTATCAATTTTGGTCCATTTTAGTACCTAAACTTTTAATTTTTCAAAATCATACCTAAAGTTTAGTTTTTATTTCATTTTAGTACCCGTGTTCAAAATTTAACGTTAATTTTATTTCGGTTTAAGTACTAAATGCGTTAAGTTTTTAACGGTTAAGGAAAAATTAACTTCAAAAAATCGTAGTTGCTCTCTCTCTCTCTCTAATAATATGTGGGGTGATTATATTATCTCTTTAAAAAAAATTAATTAATTAATAATATAAATACACTCTACAGATATAGACGATCAAACTGACGACTTCTAAAAAGAATATCATTTATTTTTATAACTGAAACCACTTAATAAATTCATTATTTCTCTCTATTGGATGGCTATTCTCTTAGTTTTTTTAATTATTTTTCATCCATAACAACACTAATTTTGGACTAATAGCCAGTTGTTGGATTTTTTTCCATCCCCTTCTTATAATTCGACATATGTGAATTTTCTATCTTTTTTTTTGTAGGAAGGTATTGACAATTTTTGTTTTTGTTTTTGTTTTTGTAGTATGTTCTTTTATTGTTCTTTTA